ATGTAACAATGATGAGAAATACAACTTTCCTCTAGTTCCTAAAGGTTTCCTCCCTGCTCCCACTACCATGACTTGAATTCTATCTTGCTAGACTGGCTAGACCAGAGGAGGTACACTGGTACAGATAGAAACTGAAAATAAAGGGAATCCAAGATGGATGAGCCCTATAGGACCAGTGGTGTGAGTGGCAAAACAGGGAGGGTAAAGGGAGAATGGGTAGGAAAGAGGGAACCGATTACATGGAACTGTGTGTGACCTCCTCCCTGGGGGACAGACAACCGAAAAGTGGATGAAGGGAGACGTCGGACAAGGCAAGATATGACAAAATACCCATTTATAAACTATCAAGGGCTCATGCGGGAGGGGGGAGCGGGGAGGGAGGGGAAAAATGAGGACCTAATGTCGGGGGTTTAAATGGAGAGAAAATGTTTTGAGAAACGATGTACAAATGCGCTTTACACAATTGATGTGTGTATGGATTGGGATAACAGTTGTATGAGCCCCTAATAAAATGTTAAAAAAGAGGAAAAAAAAAAAAAAAAAAAGATAATTGTAACGTCCAAAATGTTTTACTGTATTTTCCCTTTTTCGTTTAATAAATTGGGTAATACGAGTGTAAAAAAACAAACAAACAAACAAAAAAAACCCTAGTGTGTTAGGCTGGGTTGCCTAGAGAAACAAAATCAGTGGCACTCATCTATGTATCAGTAGGAGCTTTAGATCAAGAAGTAATCTGACAGCAAGAGGGCTTCCCAGCCCTGTCTAACTCAGGTCTGTAAATCCAACGCCAGTACGTAAGTCTCTCTTCAGACTCACGCAGCTGCAGGCTGAGGGTGCAAACGGCGAAGCAGGAGGCAGGGAGATCACAGGCTGTGGGTGCAGAGTTGCATGGATCCAAGGTCAGTGGAAGCAGGATAAGTGTGCCGAAACCTCTCAGTCAGGTGGCCCACATGGGGCCACCCCTGGAGGCAGACACAGAGTCCCCAGCAAGCAGGAAGGCCCAGGGACTAAGGGGGGTGGTAGTGGTGGTGTGTTCCCCGTTTCTTCCTTATAAGAAAGCCACAGCCCCAAGGAGGCATCATTCGGTAGTGACCTGATTGTCCGGTTGCACGCTACTCTTGCACTTTCATAAAAATTCAAATTGACATAAAATCATCCAAGGAGTTCAAAACCTCCCCAGGAGAACAGACATCTGTACTAGACACTGCCTGGTAATACAGAGGAGTCAACCAGTGCAAGCCACCCCTCCAACGTCTTGGATTCCTGGCTACTGGAACAGGATTCCCACGGAGATAATCTTCCTCCCCCCACAGCTCTCGGCCTCTGGGGGTGGGGGGAACACATGAGCCTACTCATCACTCCCCTGTGCCGGCCCTGGCCCCCAGAAGAGTACCACAGAAGAGAGTAGCACTTTCCCCACAACACACTTGGGGTTGGGGGAGGGCAAGCCTTCTCTAGGGTGGGAGGTGAGTACCATTGAACTTGGGCGGGGAAAATTCACTAGCTCCCTGAAGACCTAGGGTTGGAAGAGACAGTCTGCTCACAGGATTCCTGCCAGATAGGAATGATTTAAGTCAGCTGCAGGCTCACTTCCAACACCTGCCTGGGCTGTGGAACTAGATCTGGCCCCTGGAGGGCTGTGGCACTCAGACCCTGGTATACCTGGGGGATGAACCTGTCCTGGGGAGAGGCAAAGTTTGGTGAACTTGCTTCAGGGAAAATTAACATGGGGGAGTTTGAAATTCAACTCTCTGCAGCCCTGGCATTTAGAGAGCCCACTTGTCAGCTCAGACTCAGAGGAGATTAATTTTAAGAGACTGCAGGCCCTGTTCTGAAATTCAGAGAGTGCAAAGACAGCTTGACTGAGTGGGCAAAGCGTTTTGGATATGTCTTCTCTTCTTTTTGTGACAACTGTACTGGTCATTGGCCAAACTTCCTACAAAAAATGCAGGAGCTCATTTCAAGGCCAGGACCTTGGAAGGGGACAGCATTTAAATTTTCCTGGCATTAACCCCTTCTCAGGATAGGGTATTTCCACATAACCTAGTCACCTAACTCCTCAGAACTACAGCAAATGCAAAGGAAAACAGTCCTTAATCCAAGACAAAAACAAAAGCAACATCATGTCTTAGAAGCAATAGCCAAACTCTGCACATGAGAAAACAGGGAAAGATGATACAGTCAATGGGCTACAAGCAGAATGAGGGCTAGAAAACAGACAATTCACTAAAGGTGACATCCAAGGAGCCAATTACCATACGAAGAAATACTCACAAGCTATAAGAGAAATACAAATTAAAACAATGATACCACACTGACATTGACAGTAAATTTTTTTTTTCAAAAAGAAAGAAAAAAAATGCTGCAGAGGATGTATAGAGATTGCAACACTTGAAACCCGCTAGTGGGATTGCAGAATTGTACAACCACTACGGAAAACGGTATGTGCTTCGTGAGACAAGTATCAATAGAAGTACCAATCTCCCTACTTGGTATTCATCTCCAAGAACAAAACATAAACAGATACATGCTGTCAGGTGCCAACTAGTTGGCGCCAACACACAGCGGCCCCGTGTACAAGAGAGCAACACACCAGCTGATCCTGTCCCATCCTCACAAGTGTTCCTATGGTTGGGTTCATTGGTGCGGCCACTGAGTCAATGCACCTCTTTGAGGGCCTTCTTCTTTTCCATTGCCCCTCTACTTTACCAAGCATGGTATCATGTCTTAGACGAGTACCTGAGACAAAGGCATGCTATCCTTGCTTCTAAGGAGCATCCTGGCTGTACTTCTTTGAGACAGATGTTTGTTCTTTTGGTAGTCTGTGGTCTTTTCAATATTCGTTGTCAGCCCAGTAATTCAAATGCATCGACTCTTCTTCACTCTTCTTTGTGACATGGCTCGGGTCAAGCACACCTTACTCCTCAAAGTAACTTCCTTGCCACCAACACTTTACAGAGGCCTTGTGTAGCAGATATACCCAATGCAATGCATCATTTGATCTCTTGACTCATGCTTGATTTTTCGGTGTGAATCTTGTGTCCTAAAGGTGATGCTCCATGAAACAAAAAGCATGAAGTGTAACCAGAGTAAAGATCCAATTGGTCAAAGCAACAGAAGAGAATGTACCTCCAATGGTTTTTCATGGCTCTCACATTAGAACTCAGTCCTTCTTCAAGCTCTGCGCAATCAACTCCTTTCTTTGACTCTGACCTCAGTGTCCTTTATTCTCTCCCCTGCTCACTGTGCTTGGTTCTCTCTGCCTTTCATTCCTCAGATGTGCCAAACTTCTTCCTCTCACAGGCCTTTGCTCTGAATGTGTCCTCTGCATTGAATACTTCTCTTGCTCCATCCAGCATTCCTCCTCAACCAGTCCTCGCTCATCTTTAGAAAGGATGGTAACGCTCTCACCCCCAGTCTCCTGCAATTGTCTTTCATGGCACCTTGTGTTACTGACATATCACAAAATATCTAACTATGCGTTTCATTGTTTTATGCTTATCTGCCCTTCTAGGCTAAGAACTTCATGTGAGCAAGAATCAACTTTCTCCATTTCACTAATATAATCACGATACCCTGTACATAATAGATATTTTGGAGGGAACGAATGAATAAAGGGAAGGCAGGCTTGAGGAGTCAATAGCTTTAGGATGCTAGGATCAACGACCCTGTATGCTGAGTCTAGCATCAGCTTCCGACTTCCATTGCTACCAATGCCACATTCCAATGGCATTGTTTACTTGTTCCTCAATGACAGTGGTTTCTAATTGTTTGAAGAAAAGGCACATGATTCCATGATGCACACCTTCCTGACACGATTGATGAAGAAAAATGTGTACATAAGCCAATGTGGTGAAGAAAGCTGATGGTACCCGGCTATCAAATGGTATAGCGTCGGGGGTCTTAAAGGCTTGAAGATAAATAAG